GTACTATTTGATAATGTACGTGTTCCTCAATCAAATCTTCTTGGAAAAGAAGGCAATGGATTTAAAATGGCAATGAGTGCATTGGATGGAGGCAGAATTAACATAGCATCTTGTTCTCTTGGAGGTGCATCATTTGCTTTTGATTTAACCAAAGATTATTTGCATGGTATCAATTAATTACTACTAATTGTCAAGATCGTAAATAATTTGGATAACCACTTGCTGCATTTTAAGGATTACAATTTAAATTTGCTGATATGGCCACCAATCTTGTTACTTCTAGATTGATTGTAAGATAAGCTGCTTAAATGATTGACAACAGTCATCCTGATAAAACCCTCTATTCTGCTATGGCAAAGAGATATGCTACTAGAACAGTTGTTTCAATATTGCCAATGAAGCATTGCAACTTCATGGAGGTTATGGATATCTGAGTGAATATCAAATAGAAAGGTGATCATTTCTATTTTATCAATAGAATTGTTAGAGACTTAAGAGTGCACCAAATACTTGAAGGTACCAATGAAATAATGAAAGTCATTATCTCTAGGAATCTGTTAAAATGATTTATAATACAAACAATTTTTAAATATGTAATCAAAATACTCAAGTTCAATCATTCATATTCAAAGTACATTCGCTTTCCTTATTAAATTAAATTCTCTCCTTTAACTTAATTATCAATCCTTCTTTATGTGATTTATTCTAATTCATTATGTAATCTTAAAAAAGTACATTGCTATTTTTGAGGAGTACATAATATTGATCAAATTTAATTTGATGTAGAGGACATCTATTACTATTCAAGTATTTTGTGTTAATTGAGTGAATGTAAATTTGTCTTTAATAGCAATATTGGTCACCCACCAGTATTTATTAATTACAATAATTAAATAAAAATTAGTATAAAATTAAATTATATTGAAAAATTTATAAAAAATATTTATAGAATAACTATTCTCTATTAATTTGTCATATTTATTTTCAACCTCTATATAAAGTATAAACAATAGTCATTCGACATTTCATATTGTGAATCCTAAAATTAGAATGTTGAATTTCTTATATTCTAAATATAGCCAATTTCAAAATAATATAGATCCACTCAAAACGTCATAAGATCAATATAGAAAATAAAGAATCCATTATTTTAATATCTTCATATGCAATCCCCTCTTAAAACTCTTGAGAGTTTAAACTAAACAAATGCTTACCAAATGCCTGAATATGCAGACTATCTGAAAACACGAACATGCTTGGATAGTTTGGGCTTTTAATAAGGAATCCATATTTAAGAAAGATTCGAACCTATTTCATTTGGATTTCCAACTCCCAATGTGTTTAGAGTATATGCAGCTGATCATCTAGGAGACTAAATAGAAATGTAATAATTATTTTGTTGTTTATGGTATTTAATATAAAGTATATAGACCAAAAATAAGACCTTTTGAGATGTTGGTGGATAATTTTGGATGTAGCGACAATTAGTTAAATAAAAATTAATAATTCTAATCATCAGATCAAACCATTCTGAAGTTTAAAAGAGAGTATCAATGCACATGTTGCTGTTGTAATAGGTATGTATATCTATTTATTTTAATCTTAGACCACGTCTTGAGGTTTATTATGTCGAAAATGCGTAAAACAAATTATTAGGATACATTATTGATCCAATTTATTGTTGTCGAATTGGTTGTAATATTTTGGATTCTGATAATTAATTGAGATACATGATCAAGGCCAGTACTTGCCAGAGTTATTTTTGGTGTAGGTGTCCTTGCAGTATAGAATGCAATAAGATTGGGTTTGATATCAAACTGCCAACAGGAGAAGTAGGTATAAAATTAAATTAATATTAATAGTTGCTCCCATGTTAAAGTAGGTTAAAACATGTTGTAATACAGATTCGTTTTCCATTTGTGATAATATAAGTGCTATGTTTCCTTAGAAAGCAACAACAGAAGACAAAGCATTAATTCTAGCAGCCACAATCATGATTGAGTTCATGTATTTTGAAAAGCCTCGTTCCAGATCTACGCAATGAAAAGTCTGAATTAACCAATTCATCTAATATAAATTATTACTAAATATCTTATCTATTTTTTACGTATCAGATTTAGTTGAAATATCTATCATTTAGGCAAGAAATAATTAAGTAAGATTTACACTACAATCAAATTTATTGAATTAAATAATGAACTCAATAGTTTCTCAATTATTGATGCTTAAAACAGATTTAAATTAAGAACTTTTTTTCAAATTAAGGGAAAATATATATCTGTTCAAATTAATTAAATTTAATTCAAATTAACTATTGATTTTAATAAGAATCTAATAATAAAAAACAATTAAAAAAGTTTTGAGCGAAAGTCTAATAACTGCAAATTAAAACAATAAACTCTGTGACCCTTATTTTCCAAAAATATCAATTATTATTACTTTAATTAAAGTTTGAAATTACATGAAAATATACATTTGACTTTAATTACTGATTAAAATTCCTAACAAAAATAAGAATTATTAATTCATAAACAAAACTTTAACAATTAATAATTTTAATTTGATAAATTTGAATTACTCTTCTCATAAATAATAAATTTCATTTGATAATCATGAGATCATTTTTTTAATTTTTTAATTAGCAATTCAACTCCTCTAAAGACTCCCTAATTTACAAAAGCAATAAGAAATTCTGATCCTATCAGTATTTCAATAATTGATAATCTAATAATCTAAATTAACTAAGATATTATAATACTCTTTATTAACTTAACATTTTTTTTGATTCCCAAATCACATAGAATCCAAAACTCATTAAAATTAGGCTGCTTAACAATAAGAATATAACATAATTGGGATTTATTTTGATAAACATAATTAAAAAGAAAATTGTTGGACTCATTATAAATAGCGCTCCAACTTATTTATAATAAATGAATTCTACTTCCATAATTCAGTTCACTTTTTGTCTTCATTGTATAGAAGGCAAAACAGAAAATGATCACAAATGCATTCAACCAACCAAGATAAATCAATCCAATGCCAAAATTATAGGCAATCAATGTGCATAATGTTGATATCATCAAGGCATAGCAAGAAAATACTACAATTAACAAAATTAATTATTAAGCCCAATATAGCTATTTTTAAATTATGCTATTTTATACCTTTCTAAAATAGAGTATTCCAAAATTCAACCAAATTTATAGAATTGCTCCAATAGAAATACAACAATAAAATAGATAGGTTGGCCGAATAGACAATTCATTTTTCTGGGAAATAACACATCCGAAATTACATTCTGATACACCTTCCATTTCACAATAGCAAAAGTCTTTAATATTAGAACTTTTTGTAATCAACCAATATTATAATTCAGAATAAAGACCAAGGAGAATTACTGCGAGAATTATAAAATTCTCTATGATCATTGCCGCATACGCGCTGCTAATATAATCAGCTCTTTTTAAAGAATCTTCAACTTATTGGCTACCTAATATATATTCTATATCAAAACTTTGTATTTATTCGAATTCAAATTATTCAGTATTATTTGTTTGGATTGTCTGTTGACTATCACTTATATAGTTTAAAGGTTAGTTGGGCTGATTTTTTTCATAACTTGTGTAAATATACATGTTATTAAGGATATATTTAATAATGTAAAATAAATTCCATGTTTTGTAGATATGAATTAGAATTAATTAAATATATTTAATTCTAATTTTCAATTTATATCGAAAAATTAAACTTTGAAACACTTTAAATTTTATGTGTATATAAATATATTGAATTAATTGGAAATACGTAATTCCTCAGAGATTCAATAAATAAAATTAGATAAAGAGAAATATTGCTTAAAGCAATTTTGATTAAAAAATAATGTTCAATATTAATTGTTACTAAATTTAATTTTATCTAAAAATGACTTAATTGAAATCCAAAAATTTTATTCAAACGAATGTTCTCAGCGCCAGCCTAAAGATCACATCAATTATTGGCCTATGTAAAAATGGTTTATTTTTGATATTTAAAAATTTGACCTAAATTCTCTAGATGATATGATAATATATCAACATCTGAACTTGAAATATTTTCTATAATTTTGAATAATGCAACATATGTAAGTTCCATCAACAGAGTTGATTAATTATTAATATAATATAAAATGATTTAAAAGGGAAAGAAAGTTACATCAATTTTAGTGGAAAGCTTTGAGAAACTCTTTAAACTAATACCAGAATCATTACCAGATGAGATGAAAGAAAGAATTAAATCTTCTATTCAGAGTATAACCTAGCAGGATGCTGATTTAAATAAACTTTAAGAATATGTTTCATATATTCATTCTGATGATATCAATATTTCATTTTTAGGACTCAGTCAATGCAAAAAATTATTGAGTAACACTCAACTTACTAGAGACTTGGATGCAATTATTGATATTGTACTTCGAACAAATATTGAATTAAAACTTTTTGAAATAGCAAAAAATAATAGTGTCTAATTGTTGAAATATTAAGCACTTGCCATAATTTGTAGCTTTGCTTGTGGAACTTAAAATTAAATTTAAAATATTTTAGATAATGATAGAGTGGATGTTCTTTTTCAAACTATCAATTCTGAATATGATGAAATAATTGGTTTGGGAGTTTACACTTTAACCAACATTTCATCAAATAACATTTATTTTAGAGACCTTTTATTGGAAAAAGGAGTTGTGTAATAATTTATCAGTTTAGCAACAAAGTGTAAAGGCGAGAAACTTGAAACCTTTAGAATAATTCTCTGGGCAATCAGTAAATTCGCCAATATCAAACCAATGATTTAAATGGTAAATCTTTGACTTAAAGATAGCATATTGAAGATTTGATTAAGTTTCTTTCAGAAATTATAATAGCTGTTGATGAAGAATAACAATTAATTGATGCCTGTTGGGGGTTAGGTTACTTAAGTCAAAATGATAATCAAATACATTTATTAGTTAAATTTGGAGTCATTGAAAAACTAGTTATGCTACTGCATTTAGAAAACAAAAATATTGTAATACCTGCCCTTAGGATTTTAGGAAATATTTTAACTGGGACTGAAGAATAAACAGATTAAGTTTTAAATGCAGGAGTCCTATAAGGTTTTATTATCTAACTACAATAAAGTAATAATTAAGCAATTCGATAAGATGTAAAAAATAATGATTTTAAAGATCTGTTGGGCATTATCTAATATAGCTGCTGGCACTGTAACATAAATAAAATAAATTATTACTAAAGATTCACTTCTATTATCTCTTTTTCGAGAATTAGAAATTGGAGTTCCTAAAATCGTTCAAGAAATTGCTCATTTTCTATCAAATATTGTTATTTATGCAGATATAGATGATTTAGATCATCTTGTGAGGTCTTATGGATTAATTTTATAAATTTCTATGATATTAGATTCAATCGATAAAAATGTTGAAGTTATTCTAGAAGGAATCTTTTAATTTATATAGAGGAGTAATAATTTTCATAATTTTTAGTAATCTAAGTTGGAAGATTTTAAGCATATTACTAATATTTTGAAGAATCCAAACTCATTGAAAAAGTTGAATATTTATAAATCCATTAATCTAGCACAATTTATTAGAAATGTAGTGAAATTTTTGAGATATTCATTTCTAAAAAAAAAATTTGGGAACAACATCTTATTTGATGATACTCATAATAAATTTATTTTATAATTATTTCTAATTTGTCATTTTATTTTCATTAAACTTAAAAGTGGTGTAGGTAAACCTTGGATTTCAAAAAGATTGATTATTTTTTCTAATCGAAATTCACTTTATAGTCTTTACTTATTAGCCGTTTTTGAAAAAAAAAATCTCCTAACGAATCTTTTATTCCCTATGCCCATGATTGATAATGATAATTTATTTAAAATATTCA